CGAATTTGTCCAATCGACCGCAATCACGTATCCAACCGGTGCATTATAATGGTAATGTTATAAATGAACCGCCCAACCAAGTAAAAGCTCGCAATACCAAAACCACATCTCTGATTAATATCCGGCATGTGGCTATTTTCAAATTGAAACGAGACCTATTTTCTTTTTAATTTTTATTTTGCGCTTTATGAAAATGCTATGCGTGTGTATGTATAATATAAATATACTCTTATATTAGGAAGAGAATTAAATAATGGTTGATAAATTTATTAAATTCTTAATTAATTTTCCGATATGTTAAATATTGAAATTTAAAGTGTTTTGAAAGATTTAATATTAAACGTATAAATCATATAACATTCATAACATCTTATTTTAATTAATTGGTAGATAGTTCTTTCTTTAGTTTTATGTGTATTAAAGTTTTTATGTGTGTGTGTATAAAACTTATTTTGAGTTATTGGACTTTGAAAGTTGTAAAACAAGAGGGCATTAAATATTTATCAAATGACAGAAATAGAATAGAAATGGAAATATTCCAAGGTTGTTTAGCATGATGATATGCTGTCTCTCACGGATCGTCAATATTCTAATTCAATTTTCACGTAAAATTTCGAGCTTGCTGCAATTTTTAACGATACTCGAAATTGGTTAAAGTGTCAAATAGTTATGCGAAATTTTTATTAAGGTTCCATGTAACTTAATACGTGCTAAAATTGAACGTGCATGCGTGCTTCCTGCACGCTCACATTCGGTGCACATGCTCTCACATGCATACGATAGATATGCGAATGTTTTGCATGCATTTGCGGTCGAAGTTCGGTATAAAAAGATAGATTAATTAGAGATTCAGAGATTTTGTTTTGCACCATCGGATTTCGAGTCATTGTCAGACAATGAGAACGACCTTCGAAGGGTACGAGGAGCTCATAGAGACAACGACGAGGACGAGGTCGAAATGTCTGTGTGAGATATTGATTCGGTCGGCCTTCTTTCCTGCGGTAGTCACGTGAAAGAAGAAGTGGACGAAGCTCGAAGCCGCATCGTGCTTCGTGCACGTATATCGATTCGATCGGCAGAATGAGAGAAAGAGAAAGAAAAAGAATGAGAGAGAAAGAGACAGAAGCTCTCGAGCACGTGAGAGAAGTCACGAGAGAAAGAGAAATATATCTGAACGTTAGTTGTGCCTGCCAGCTCTGCGTAATAATTATTGATAAAACTAAGCCTCTCGTTTTTCCCGATCAAAATTTTACGTCGGCGCCGCGGCGATATTGCCAACGATTCGTTCTGTATCAACAACATGCGCGATCTGATTTAACAGTGACACATTAACTCTTATTTGAACAATATATTTTCTTCGGTGAAGTAATTTTTGCCTGAGTAATTTAATGCTATGATGTTAACGTTAAATGTATAGTTTTAATGTAAATATATGCCATATTTTTTTACTAACGAACTGACATATATAATTTTTTTTCAAAATATAATATTGTGTATATATTATTGCATTAATGTTCAACGTTATATACATATTAAATATATATTTTTAAATTTAATTTTTTAAAATTCGATTTAGAAACAATATCTATTAACTTATAAAATAGAATATAGTATAGATTTTCTCCTTTCACAATAAAAATATATGAAATAATCATAAAAAATATATCAATATATGAGAACTGTAAGTAAACTGTGTGATTCGTTTATTAAATGATATATTAAAATTATGAATATAAAATTCCAGATTAATAAAGACTATCTGTAAATGAAAATTGAAATATTTCAGACGTCGCACACTTGTAATAAGCGAACGAACAAAATAAATCCAATAGATTTATGAAACTAAAAAGAATCTGCTTGGATAAAGATTAAAGCTGAATTGACATCTTTTTTATGACAATTTATTATATATTTCACGTATAAACTTATTCGTAACATTTTTTTCAAATCTGCTTTCTAATTTTAAAACATATTTTGTGTTGATTCCAGCAGCTGTTGATTTCAGTGAAATTTATTGGATTATCGTAATCACACGCTTTTATTTTTCTATCATGACATACGTTCAAATTTGTTAACAATTAGATAAACTTTGCTAAATATCTATAGAAAACAATGGAACAATAAGTTTTTATTAATACAATAAAAAGTGTATTCATTTTCTAACTGTAGATACAGAGCTTCTAGTTTCTTTATGACATTTCATTGCGTCGCGGCGAGATATGTTTACTATTTAATGTATTCTTGTTTTTTGGTGATTTTTTAATTTTTATTCTTTAGAATAATAAACAGAATGCTTTTTCATGAGACTGCTGCTAAATTTTTTCAAAAGAAATTTTGTTTTTAAATAGGATCTGCTCTATATATATAAATTATCATTTGATTTCGAAATTTAATACTATTAAATACTATTTAATATTATCAATACTATTAAATGTAATATTAATTGGTTCTCACACAAAGAGATTCTGGTATGCGTGCGAATTTACGAAAGTATATGACATTTTAAGTACATAATTATCATATTTGGACACTCGGTGATAGCGAGACTTCGCGGAGCTTTCCCGTTGCATTATACGCACAGCGGTTCTCAGCGAACTCGTGGAATCTCGGTGAAAACAAACGATCGCGCTCGAAACGTTTTTCTTTGCCGGCGAGGCGCGGCCGTTCGCCAGTGTATGTACGTCGGACGCGCACACATACGTTGCTATAACTCGCGCCAGGTAACATGAGAAACGGCAACTCGAGCCCGCTTTTCGTAAGCGGCTTACTTGCGCGACGGAAAATTGTACTACAGTCCTGGCCGCGTGCGTGCCTTTTTCTTCGCCTTAACTGTCTCTACGTCGTCGCACATAAAATACACGACCGCCCCTGGTTTCCTTTCATCCCCGGAACGTTCCGCGCCCCGGATGTTTATGCTGCATGTAAGCAAACACAGTTTTTCTCCGGCTAATGTACGCAGCAGATCGCGAAGAATTATAGCACGTTGTGAGTTTTCGCAACTAGAATTATTAAATTATATGCTGTATTTTTATTTTCACTCCCAATGTGTGACCGCTATTTACTCACAATCAGTCGATTAGGGTTACCTACAACTTGCTATTGATAATAATTGGCATTGGATATTTTTATCATTTATAATTCAGTTGAATTAACCACCTATTTATATTTGAATTATTCATATATCTCTTTTATATTGTAAATTATATATTTGCAAAGATGTGTATTTAAACATTCTTGCCTTAGTTAAGCATCGATGCTACAGACCTA